CTCTAAAATGGTTGCTGGATAAAAAACCTGATGTCCTACACAAGGTCACACCCAACGTGACAGTGTGACTCTTGAACTTCCTCGTTACAAAGCAAACCCGCCGCCATTTTTTTAGAGAGTTCCGAAGGTCTGCAGGACAACTTGGGCCAATGCAGTTTTAACAACTGGGTCATGTTTGAAATGACGGGGTGGGAGCCCTTTCTTGCTAAAAGATAGGAGCTGTCTTCTGCAGGGATCGCTGCCCAAGTTTAGAAGGAGCGGGCAGACTGTTGCCAAGGACCCATCTCAATACCACATTGAGCGAAGCCCGGGGTAACGTTCAAACAGTCAAAGAGCAAGGCCCACAAGCAGCGCCGAAATTATCTGCGGAACGACTCCGACTAAGGTTTCCCTCAAAGGTTGTGGATTCACTGCGCAGATTGGCCTGCACAAGTTGCAGGGCCAACAGTTGGCTGTTCTTGGGCCCTCTGGGTCTAAGTGATCCGTCTAAGTGAGCCATCTGGCTCGCGGCTTCTGAAGGAGTTCTTACACTTACTTTTCACTACAATTGAACCGGAAAGCTGTTAGTGACAACATGAGTTTGCTGGGTCTGATCTTCTTCAATTGAACAAATATCCGCCAATCCCTTCTTTTTTCAAGGGGGGGCGCATGGGAAGGGTGATCGATGATCCTCATTGCTGCCACAGATGCTATCATTCCTGGCGACGCTGGGGATGCGTAATGATGGTGGTCACGACTATCTGTTTTCTGTACATATATATCTATATATCTCTCTCTCCCTCAAAGGTTGGACGCGACTGCAACTGGACAAAGTACAGTTATCGTCATAGTCGTCATCAGCTGCCACAGGCGTCGCCGGGGACGTTCTTTGTGATGTTTGGTGATGCTGGCAAGAGGATTATCACGACTGTTGGCGTGTTGTTGGTGACGCGTGGCCGGTCCAGCCAACCCCTTCCGCAAGTGGTCGGATTCGTACGATTTGTAATGCTGTGAATCATCATGACTGCTGGTGGTCCTGTTAGAGCTGACTGGAGATGCAGAGGATGCGTAGTCATGACTATCATCATGACTGTTGGTGATGCAGAGGGTGCACGATGATGCTTATCATCATCACTGATGTTGGGGACGAGTGCTAGTGATGACTCTCATCACATCATCATCACATCATCATCATCATCGTAGTCATCAGCATCTCTTTCTATATTCTACACTATACATTTCAAGTGTGGCGTTAGACACCCTTGGTGATGCAGAGGATGCGTCGTATTGATTATCATCATGACTGCTGGTGGTGCTGAGGATGCGTCATGATGATTATCATCCGGTTGGAGATTCAAAAGATGCATGGCCATGATTCTCATGATAGCTCATTGGTAATGCAGACGATGCTACGATGATAGTTCTCATCGCAGTAATCATCCTTATCATCATAGTCATCACCCTTATCATCATCATCCCTTGATAAGCAGCATTGGTGACGCACGATGATAGTTATCATCACAGTCATCATCATCATCCTTATCATCATCATGATGATGGTCATCATCATCATCACCTTTCTCATCATCATCATGACGGTCATCATCATCTCTTTCTTATTCTTATATGCGTTTCCGGTGTAGCGTTAGGCAGCATTGGTAATGCGGACGATGCTACGATGATAGTTGTCATTGCAGTCATCATCCTTCTCATCATAGTCATCATCCTTGTCATCATCGTCTTTCATGAGGTAGCGTTGAGAATGCAAAGGATGCTACGATGATGGTTATCATCACCGTCATCATCATCCTTATCATGAGGCAGCATTGGTAATGCAGACGATGCTACGATGATAGTTGTCATCGGAGTCATCATGCTTATCATCAGAGTCATCATGATTATCATCATGATCTCTTGTGAGGCAGCATTGCGAATGCAGACGATGCTAAAACGATAGTTATCATTACAGTCATCATCCTTATCATCACCCTCATGGTCATCATCATCAGCATTGGTGATGCAGATGATGCTACAACGCTGGGTCCATCCAACCACTTGCGGAAGTGCTCGGATGGATCATCATCCCTATCATCATAGTCATCATCCTCATCATCATCCTCATGGTCATCATCAGCATCTCTTATGACAGCATTGGTGATGCAGATGATGCTACGATGATGCTGGGTTGCTCCATCCAACCTCTTGCGGAAGTGGTCGGATGGGTGAGATTTGACTCGCTGGTGATGCTGGTGGCGCTGACGCTGCTGGGGGTGCTGGCGGTGATGCTGGCTAGGGTTTTATGACGGGTGCTGGTGTGTGTTAGGTAGGCACCATTGGTGATGTAAAGGATGCTGCGATGATAGTTATCATGAAGGTCCTCAGCCTTATGGTCATCATCATCTCTGATTAGGCAGCATTGGTGAGGCAGAGGATGCTACAATAATAGTTGTCATCACAGTCTTCATCCTTATCATCATTATCCCCGCGGTAATCATCATCCTTATCATCATCATGATGATGGTCATCATCTTCATCACCCTTCCTCATCATCATGATGGTCATTCTTTTATACGTTTCAGATGTGGCAGTAGGCACCATGGATGACGCAGAGGATGCTACGATGAGAATTATCATCAAAATCCTCATCCTTATTCATCATTATCACCATGGTCAGCACCATCTCTTATGAAGCAGCATTGGTAATGCAAACGGTGCTAGAATGATTGTTATCATCGCAGTCATCATCTTACCATCATCATCTCTTGTGAGGCAGCCTT